CCGCCGGGATGTGAATGTCATTTGCATGAATTTGGCACTGGTGGCAGGCGCCCACATGCGCCTCCGCGTCTCGTCTCATTGTTGGCCAGTAAAACCCCTATCGTAGCAGTGTTTTCTCCAGGTTTCGTGCACCTGCGTGCATGCCACACGTTCCACAATGCACTTCCTCGATTGCCCCCCTGCTTTCTTCCTCGTCAAGACACCTCAAATAAGCTCCCGCATGAGATCTTTTGTACAATTTTCCCGCGATTATGGAACATCGGATCGCCTTTCGGCGGAGGCGCCAGGCTTCCTTCGGGTCATCAGGCACCATGCCTTGGGTTAGGAACAGTATGATTGGTGCCATCCATCCGGAGTCGGCGCCCCCACTTGCTAGGGTAGCGATCAGGTGCTCATGAGGCGCCTCCGAGGTGACTATTACTTTTCGCTCTTCCGCGAAATCCACTGCAGTTGCTAACTTGGATAAAGCGTATGCATGGGCATTCTCTTCACATGGGATGTGTATGAAAGAGATTTCTCCGAACCCCGCCCCCAGCTCTCGCACTCTTCGCACGTACCCTTCCAATGCCTCCTCTTTCACCTCGAAGACTCCGTTAAGTTGATTAACGACAATGGCTGAGTCAGACCTGACCTGGACCTTGTTGGCGCCCAACTCTTTGACCATGCTCATGCCGTCGATAAACGCTTCATATTCCGCGGCGTTGTTTGTTTTTAGTGTTGCAAACCGCAATGCGACTTCGTGCATCGCTCCCCCTGGGCTTATCATTACGATGCCTGCTCCAGCGCCGGTGCGGCTGGCAGCCCCATCCACCTGCACCTGCCAACATTCATCCATGCCTTGCTCTGACTCTGCTACTCCCTCATCGATGAAATCAGCCAGGACCTATGGCTTTATCGCCGGTCGGGGCGCATACTGGATGTAAAACTCACTTAGCTGAACTGCCCAGTTGACAAGGCGCCCAGGCACATCCATTGACCCCAAAGTAGACCTCAACGGAAGATTGGTGAGTACCACAATGGTGTGCGCCTGGAAGTATGACCTTAGCTTGGTCGCCGCCATCACAACTGCCAAGACAGCCTTCTCAATAGGTGCGTATCGTCTTTCATGGGCAACCATGGTGCGGCTGACGTAATATACCGGCCTTTTTTCTCCAGAATGGGCTTCCCTTGAGATGAGCACTGCACTTACCGAGACTTCCTACACGGTGATATAAAGCTACAGTGCCTCCCCCGCCTTGGGCGCCGTCATCACAGTTGGGGCGGCTAGGAGTTGCTTCAGTTCTTCGAACGCCGCATCGCACTCAGTAGTCCATTGAAAACGTACTGCCTTCTTGAGTGTTCTAAAGAAAGGAGCGGCCTTGTCCGCGGATCGAGGGATGAAACGCCCCAGGGCCGCTAACCTTCCCGCCAAGCCTTGCACTTCCTTGGGCGTCTTTGGTGAGGTCAGCTTGAGAATGGCGTCCACCTGCTTTGGGTTGGCCTCGATGCCCCGCTTGGTGATCATGAATCCCAGGAACTTTCCTGCCTCGGCGCCGAATACACACTTCAGCGGGTTGAGGCGGAGCCTATGCGCCCGCATAGCTTGGAATGTCTCCCGCAAGTCTTCCAGGTGGTCTTCACTCCTCCGACTCTTGACTATCAAATCGTCCATGTAGGCCTCCACATTTCGACCAATTTGCTGACGGAAGACGCTGTTGACCATCCGTTGATAGGTGGCGCCCGCATTTTTTAGCCCAAATGCCATGACCCGATAGCAAAAGTTTTCGAAAGGCGTCATGAAGGCTGTCTTAGGTCGATCTTCTTCTGCCATGGGGATCTGGTGGTATCCAGAGAACATGTCCACGAAGCTTAGCATCTCATGGTACGCTGTGGAATCCACCAGTTGATCTATTCGGGGCATTGGGTAGGCGTCCGTTAGACACGCTTTGTTGAGGCTAGTGTAGTCCACGCACATTCTCAAGTCTCCTGATGGCTTCGGCACGAAGACCACATTCGATAGCCAAGTAACATAAGAGGTTTCTTCGACCAAGTTGGCGCCCATGAGCTTATCCACCTCAACCCTGAGGGCCGCCTCCTTCTCCGGCGATAGGTTCCTCCGCTTCTGCTAGACGGGGCGTCTACCCTCTTCGACCGCCAACCTGTGCACGGCTGTTTCAGGGGTGACGCCCGGCATTTTCATCGCGCTCCATGCGAAAAGTTCCGCAAACTCCCTCAGGAGGGCGATGAGGCGATCTTTCATTTCGTCGGGCGCCCCTGCCGATATTCTCACTTGCCTTTCTGGGAGTCCTTCGTCTAGCGACACCATAAGTTCCTCGTCGGCAGCCTCGGCTCGAGGTGCCTCTTCTGCCGTAGTTTCCATCACGTTGACTCTTGCATCGGAACACCTCCGCTTCCGTCCTGTTTCCTTCGCATAACGCGGGGCGCCTCGCCCCAGGGCTACGCCAACTCCTTGCGGAGCGATGAACTTTAAGGTTTGATGACAAGTAGAGGCCACCCCGTTGAATAAGGCCAGGAGAGGCCTTCCCAGGATCGCGTTGTATGGGGAAGGGCAATCACCTATACGAAGTCGATGGCACGCGTCACCCTTTGTTCCCCATCCCCCAAGGTGACCGGCAGGCGCACTCGCCTTATCATTCTGGCGGGCGCCCCTGAAAAGCCGACTAACACCGAATCCGATGGCCTTATAAGCTCCGGCGATAATTGCATGCGAACCACTGTATCTTTGAACAACACGTCCATTGAGCTTCCCGTGTCGACGAGCATCCTTCTCACCTGGCATCCCGCCACCACTCCTTGTATTTCTAGGGCGTCCATGGATGGGAGCATGCACGCCTCCTCTGGCGCCCTGTTGAAGCTGGTATCGATCGCCTCCTGCACGTCCGCCGATGCTGCTCTCAGCCGACGGTTTGCCTCTATTTTTTCTCTCAAGTCCACTGTTCCCGAAATAGTTTCGATGGTCAGGCGTACCCGCTCGGGCGCATTTTCTTGGTCAAGGTCATAGGGCGGGGGTGATAGCTCTTTCCTTGCTTTTCCCACACCGGCCACGCACGCCCGGTGCACCCTCTCTTCAGGCTTCTTGACGAAGTCGTTGAGCATCCCTCTGTCGGCCAAGCCTTGCAGCTCGGTCTTCGCGGACGCATACCCTGGACCACTCGGAGGGTGCGGCCTCCTTGTCATTTCAACCTCTTCCCCTCTTGTCTTCCGCCTGTCTGCCCTCCTGGCTGCCAAAGTTTCTTCGAGCATGATCACCTTTTGCACTCTACGATCAAGATCTTCGGTGCACACTACGTCTCTTTTTGCCAGCGACCTACACAGCTCCTCACTGGTGGTACATTCGTTCAGGCACACTCCCAAAACCGACGGCTACGCACCTTTCACCGCCAAGGCTACAGACAGCCACCTCTCATAAAACTCCCTCAGCGCCTCTCCATCTCTTTGCTTGACCTTGAACAGGGCGCCTATGGTCAGGGTGCGACGCTTCCTGCTGGTGAATTTTGCCAGAAACATCTCCGCAAATTGCTCAAAGCACTCAATGCGCCCTTCTTCAATCTGGTAGTACCAGTCGAGGACCACGCCCGCAAAGGTTGACGGAAACACTTTGCACAGGGTGGCATCCGTACTGTTGTAGAGCTGCATATTGGTGAAGTATCCATTGAGGTGGTCCTCTGGATCAGCGGTCCCATCATAGGTGGAGAGCGGGGGAATGTTGGTCCCCACAGGCTCCAACAGTATATTGCGCGCTAAAGGCTGTTTCACGGGCCGTGACGTGCCAGGCGCCCCAAAATTCCTCCGTTCCACCCACCTGCGTCTGGTCCCTCGTGATCACGTGGGCGCCACAAACTGGGGCGCCTCTGGTATCCAGACTCACTTTCTGTCTCTGCCATCCTTTCTCTCTTCTTCGTTGGGTTGGGCGTCATCCCTCCACCCCTTTTCAAAGCGTCGATCTCCCTTCGAAGCGCCTCGATCGCGCCGTCCTGGTCCTCAATGATTCTAAACAATTCTTTCTTCGTCACCGAGGCGCCCTCCGACCCCCGGAACATGTCATCGCTTTCCTCACCCTCATCCATCTCGGGCGTCATCCCTCTTATCCGCCCCGACTGGTCTTCCGTAATCTCCTCTCTTTCTCTTTCTTCATTCATTGACGTCTCCTCACTCATGACTCCTGGTTATATTCCCCTACCTGACGCGCCAATTATTTGTGCCACAACACCCGTCGATACTCCCGATGCTTTTTCCCTATCCAGCGCCTGCCTACACACACGAGCGAGGAGGGGGCGCCTGGGCCTGTTAATCCTCCGACGCCCAAGTTAGTACCTTAGAGAGGGAAGTGTCACAAAGTAGGAATTTTAGTGAGAGAGTCCAACCTGTGTAAATGCTACCAACTGCCCCTATTTATACTCGCCAAGCTCGAGGTTGATCTCCTCCACGTCACTGTCCCCATTTAATGCCTTGTACTCACCTTGTCAGATATCTCAACCGCCCTGTCAGGCTTCTGCCGCATTGGCAGGCGCCTGTCGGTGATTGACCATTTGACAGCCTGGCCTCCCTTGGCTTTTAGTGTTTTGTCCTCATGCATCCCTCATCTAGCTTGGGCCCAGGGATGCTTCACTAGCCCGTTCGTGGGCCTTGCCTCCCACTTCTGTTGCCTGGAGGCCCAGAACACTGGCTGATGGGTAGTATCCCCAACAATTATCATTATGAAAATGAAATCAATGATACATTCTCATATTTTATATTCTTAAATAATGATGGTATTTCTTCGAGTGTTCGATCTATATTTTTTTTATATATCATCTTGATCGAATGATTGTCAAAAAAATTAAACGGATTGATAAATTTAAACGTAACATAAAAATATAAATAATAAAATATAAACATTCCGGTCAACGTGCCGGTTATAAGCTAGTAGAGATTAGTAGAAATGAAATCTGATTCCCTCAATTCTTTTTTCCCCCCTTTTTTCAAACGAGTGGTTCGGAATTCGTATCATCAACCCGTAAAGTAAATATCTCTTTCTTCTTCGAGCTTCTATCACTCTTCGTATCTATAACATTAATTTGCCCATCCATTTACAGCAGCTCAGTGCTGGATTCAACTGAGCTCTCCAATGTCGTCGTCGTCTTCTTCTTTTCTCGTTCCCCTGAATCCGCCGCTTTCAATCATCCAACGCCACAAGCCGCCTCCCTCGCTTCCTCTTCTTGCGCTCTACTCCAAGCCTTCGCTCCACAAATCTCTTGTCTGCCATGCTCACTCCTCCGCGAACTCTTCGGATTCCGATCGCGAGGAAATTCTTTGGCACCGCGAAGAGCAGCGGTGGCTCCGCGAGGAGCAGCGGTGGCTCCGGGAAGAGCAGAGGTGGCTTCGCGAGCGGGAGTTGCTGTTGAGCGAAATTCAGTCGCTGAAGCTCCAAATCCAGGCCTTGGAGAAGACGATTCCGGTTGTCGGAGCTGATGCGGTACCGACGAATGTTGGAGCGTTGCTGCAGGTTTTGAAGGACCGGAGCTTGATTCTGGAGAGCGCGTCCAGTGCGACTCCGATCATACTGGAGGAGAACGTGGAAGAGGAGGCGGCGACGGCAGAGTCACAAGCTGCTGGTGTTGTGGAGGTGAAAACTGAGGAGACGAAGTCGAAGAAGAGGATAGCATTGAGAGCGGGAAGCGAAGGAGAGGAAGTTCGAGAGATGCAGGTGTGCTCGCAATAATACAATCCTGATGCATTTCTTCTAGGAATTTTGTAGCCAAGGCGAGTTGTTCATTTGTTTTCCTCTTCATTTCAATGGCTTTTCCCCAAGTGAATACGTTGTTATTCCTTCGAATAAACTGTGTGGAAGAAACCTGTAATAGTGAATTTGCGGTTCCAACTTTTCTGCTGATATCTATCTGGTTTGCTTGTTGGTTGGTTGCAGGAAGCATTGCAAAAACTGGGGTTCTACTCAGGGGAGGAGGATATGGAGTTTTCCAGTTTCTCAACTGGGACTGAGCGTGCTGTCAAGACTTGGCAAGTAAGTCGAGAATGCGCTAGTTTCTGTTATCTTCACCGAAAACAGTGGTCTATTTGTGTGGATTCTCATTGAAGAACTCTTAGTAAAGATAATAAGTGTGAATATAATGATTGAGAGCCTTGGCAGGCAACATTAGGTGCTCCAGAAGATGGAATAATGAGTGCGGAATTGCTCGAAAGGCTGTATGTGGAGACGAGGACCGAGGTTGAAACTCTAGATAGCAGCGCAGACAAGAAGGCATATGAGAGAAGGAGCTCTCTCAATTTTCCACTGAAGGTATCCTTGTCGTAGCACTCAAATCAGTTCTTATGTTACCATTACTGCTGGCTGCCGCCTATCGTTCTTGCTTCAAAGACCATGTTTCAAGTGGCAATCTGGGTACTGTTTAGGCGTCTCCGCTCTTAGGCACGTACCCTATATGCCTTTAAGAGGTCACATGCATGAAAGGGTAGTAGATTCAGCAACCATTACGATTTGCTTCTCTGCATATATGAACATTTCCCATGTCAATGGGTACCTGGAAAGCAGTAGCTACTTGTTTCCAATATGCTGCTTACCCTGCTGGAAGTTCTAAACAGGGCGATGAGAATGGGACTGCAGTTGGTCTCATGACTGGAATATCAGAAACCAACCAGAAAGTGGTGAAGGATGAAGGTGCCAAGGAAGTCGAGGCATCGAAGCACCGAGTTTTTCTCCTTGGTGAGAATAGGTGGGAGGAACCATCGCGGCTTATTGGCAGAAACAAAGAACGCACTGCAAGTAAGGTGACGAGGACTACAAAGTGCCTCACTTGTCGTGGTGAACGCCGGTTGATGTGCACAGGTACTTCTTGCTTCCTCTCTTTTTGCCTGCTACCAATCAAAATCTAATCACTTCGGATAATGATCGTAAAATAAAAACAGTTATTGCACTTTGGTATCCAAGATGCTCCATCAATATTGGGAATACTGTTTCATGGTATAAATTATGTGTTCTCTTCTGCTGCAGAATGTGATGGAACAGGGGAACCGAATATAGAACCACAGGTAAAGAACTACTGCATCCAACTATGCTCAATACGTTGCAGTTAATATCTTTTTGGTTAATTACACACCTGCATTGCTGAGAGCTCTTTAATTTCAACCCGGGGTTGCAGTTTCTGGAATGGATAGGCGAAGACACTAAGTGTGCATATTGCGAAGGCCTTGGGTTTATAACTTGTGATGTATGTGACGGTAAAACAGTTTCCTAGGTAGGTTGCTCTCCACCGGTATCGATTATTAGACGAAGTAGCTGAAAGAGAGTATATACAGAAGCCAACTCGTTTGCCTGTAATAAATAATTCTTACAGTATCTCATGTATCAACGTATGCAAGGAACAAAAGCATATTTTGTGTACGTTCCAACATCTGCATAATATTCTTACAGAAAGCCAAAGTGCGATATAAACCAGTTATAATCTCGCTTATTCCTATAACATCTAACAAAGGACCATTCCCGTTACTGACCAAATAGTTCCGGCTAACTCTCTACTAGTACCAGTTACAGCATCTAGTAAGAAGCAGAATGGCCTACAGTACATCTAGTGCTCTCTCACCTAATTTAACACGTCTGCCCGAGCCTGAGGGTCTGGCAAAAGCAAGGGTATCGTTTCTTTTCATAGAATGAATTGATAAATTCCAAACGAATGATATGCTCCCCCTCTCACCTTTCTTTTACTAGGTATTACTATTTAGTATTTACATACTTGTCTTCGGTTTCTTAGCACCATCAACGCGCCTGCTCACAGATCGCATGGTGACGAACTCTTCAGCAGCAGAAGGGTGTATTCCCACCTGTTGCATGCAACATGGCCACATTATAAACCTTTTAGGCCATAGATAGAAATAGATAATCTCTTTCCCGTGCAGGCTTGCAACAACAAAAGTGGCTTCAAATTGGATCCCCCCCGAAGAGCCAAGATGCATCAAAACATGACTCGATAAAAGAAACAAATGACTCACCGTGCTGTCAAACTGTGCCTTTGTCGCTCCACACTTGAGCGCAATAGCAATGCCCTGTCAAGCAAAGAAGGCAGCGAAAACCAACGATTTTCAGTAAATGAAAGACTGCCTGCACCCAAACTAAATTAAACTAGAAAATCAAGCACACGAGGAAACATAATGTACCTGCATAATTTCAGGTGCATCCGGCCCGCACATGGAAGCTCCCAAGACCTTGTCCGTATCAGCATCGACAACAAGTTTCATGACTGTCTTCTCTTGTCGTCTGTGACCAATGAGCGACAAATTAAGCAGTGCAGAGCTCAAACATGCACTGTCAAGACCATTAATATCACTCTATACTCAAATTGGAAAGACGGTTGGTTAAGTAGTCCTCATTTGTCAGTGACCACAAAACTAGAACTAGAAGAAAGTGCATGGTCTGGTTACAACCCTTTTGAGATATTGAAGTTATAGAAAATAAGGTTTCTCATCTTCATCCTCTAAAACCAAACCAGTTAACAAGACAACACAATCATCATGCATACCCGGATATGGTATTCCTCATAGGATTGAAGCTTGAAGTGAATACTAATATATCGCCAGTTGCTTGTTCAATTGCTTGCTCTTCACTCAGGCCGACAACCGAAAGGGGTGGTATGCTGTGAAGTAGTAAATCATATGTCACCAGTCACCACAATAAAAAGGCATGAAAGCCAAATGTACAAAAGTACAAGCTGAAAGTCTTTACCTGAACACAGCACATGGTATATGGTCGTAGTCTGGTTTAGTAGGTTCCCCACCGAAAACAGTTTTCTGCAAGCAACATAAACAATATTAAGAGAAGATAATTGAATGTGTGGTTATTAAATTTGTTTTCTTTCAAACACCAAAAGGCAGATAGAATATGTAAACATATGTCGCCAGATTAACAAAGAAGTTGAAAGTGTAGGATGAAAAGGGTGTAAACAGACACATACTGCAAAACATGTTCCCTCCATTAAGGCAACAGGTGTAAGATTCATTCGATTTGTGACATCACCAATGGCCCATATGCTAGGTATGTTTGTCTGTGAGTGCTCATTGACCTGGAAAACAGAGCTAACGAAGAACTTAGTACTCCAATCAGTAACATATCTAAATGACACTATAAGCATGAAACGCAGAGTTAGATGAACAATATCACTTTACAAACGATAACATGTTTATCATGGACAACAAGACATCATTACCACCTAAAAGTACTTAAGACAAGACAATTTATTGACCAGTTCAATCCAAACAATACAAGAAATAGGGTATATGTACCATCTAGTGTCTCTCTAAATTAACAGTAGGGGAAAATTAACCATCCTTCATCTTGATCTACGGTCAGTATAGAAGTCAGGAATGAAAAGGCTACGTAGAACAAAATAATGATAAAGAAAACATTACTGACCTTGATAGCTCCCATCTTGTCAACCTCAACACCTACAGCTTCTAAATTTAATCTTTTTGAATTTGGGATCCTTCCTGTAAGAAATGCAAGAAGAAATTTAATGAACAAAAGACTACTCTAATTAGTGAGAGAGATATCTATTGATTCCGCATTTCCACAGAAGACATTAGTAGTATGGTGATATCTAAAGCCCATTAGAATGAGTTTGGGAGATATGTGAAATGAGCACCCCAAATTATGAACTACATTGACATGGTAGAGTGAGACTGTTACAACCATATCAGAAATCGATTCTTATGTACACTTCAATGCACATAATTACAAGAAATGAATGTTGGCCTAATTGATCAAGCTGTAAGTAGCCTCGAGTTAAGTAAGCTTCAGCAATCAAGCACCAATTACCTGTAGCAAAGAGTACCACATCTGCGACCAATTCTTCTCCATGATCTGTTCGAACTTTTATTCCATCTTCAGTTTTTATCAACTGAAATTTTAGAGACGAAAGCAGGTCACGTTTCATGTTATCGTGATAATATACAAAGAGTCAAAGACCATCAACAAAAGTTTTAAGTGAATTAAAAGGTGGCACAATAAAACAAAATAATAGGTCACTTGTTGATTCTAATTCTAATCAAAGAGTACCTCAGTGAGATTTGTTCTTGGATGCATATTGATTCCTCTCCCCTCAAGATTTCTTGCAACCACTGCTCTCATTTCATCATCAAAACCTCTGCATTGGCCATGTACATTAGTTAAAGAAATACAGTACAAGAATGATTGTGTTAGTAAGACGAGTCACATACAGTAAATTATCTTTAATTCCAAGAGCTTATTATCAAGCAATGGTAATTGAAATAAGATATTCCTAAAGTCACAAGGAGTTAACTGTTTCTTGTTTTGGCTTTTCTGGGTGAGAAAATATATTCCCCAAGTTCTCAGGATTTAAATTCTTTTGGCTTAACCATAAAAAAAAAAATCTTTTGCCTTTGATGGTGATCATGGAAGGAGGCATGGATTAGAACTATTTCTTTAATGAAAATAGGGTATACTGGATCTTCGGAGGGAAATCAGCAGTAACATCATAGCATGAAAGAGATTTTTGGTGATTCTACATTTAAAAGGTCAACATTCTTTTCAGGGCAAAACACCACATCACAAACTTATTTTAAAAACATGATTGAGTAACAAAAGTGTCCATAAAGTTGGAGCCACAATCAACATTCAAGTGCCTTCAAGTGCTTTTATCTCCTCATACCAAACAAAAATAACCCTATTTCTCTGTCTTTGACATAATCTTAATAGACAAAATTATTACAACTTGACACATTGGCTTTAGCTTAACCTGATCGTTAAGCCATCCATTCCACTAAAAGGTACTATTATGAAATGCAAACAGTTCTCAGCATCAAAATATAATCAACAGCAAGAATAAATCATAACCTCAGTGGAAGTTCCTTTCTGAAAAAGAGATCCACAGAAGCACCCATTCCACGCCATATAGAAGCAAACTCAACGGCAATGTACCTTCACATCAAATGGAATAGCCATCACAACCCAGAAACGTAAGATCTTACGCGAGATAGAAAAAAATCTTTAGACCTAACAAATTAAAGCTCTTTTTACCCTCCTCCAAGCACTACAGCACGTTTAGGCATTTCTTCCAAGCTCAAGGCCTCGTCAGAAGTTATAGCCAACTCCTACATTATAAAAAGGGGAGATTATGTGATGCAAGAAATAGAAATACAACGGAATGAGGAAATTCTTGAAATGAAAGAACAAAAAGAATGTACAATCAAACACAGTGGAAAGAAGTAAGAAAGAAACAAATTTAGTCAACATATGACACATGGATCTGCGATATGTTACCTAAGTACGCAGCTGTCAAAGGAAAGAAAATCACCTGTCCTGGAATAGCAGGGCTGTGCGCCCTACTTCCAGTGGCTATCAGTATATGTTTTGCTGAGTAGCGCAATTTAGTTCCATCTAACTGAGTAACTTCAACTTCATTGGGACCAACAACTCTTCCCTCGCCTTCATACAATTTAACCCCGGCATTGGACAACAACCGCTTGTAAATTCCATTCAATCTGAGTATTTCATCGGTCTGCAGATGCAAATGTAAATCGCCCCCGATGAATAACAGTACAGGCCACATATTATGTTTAATGTAGGAAAAAAAACATGTACTGACCTTCTTCTTCAACAGCTTTTTCCAGTTGAAGTCCAGGTTTTCTTTCAGTTCCCATCCATAGTTCCTTGCATCCTTCAAGAAGATTAAAAAATAACCATTAACTATCTATCATCAACAATTGTTGCTAAATTGAGGGGGAAAAAAACAATACAGTATCGTCCTAATCAAAACTGATCCCAGTATTTCAAAAAGAAAAGGTCCAGCATTCCTGCCCCAAACAGTTGAAAAGCATTCAGTTGATAATCTATACACTTCAGAGCTACGTGACAGTCGAGATTACAAAATCTTTACACATGAAGTCTGAAGACGAACTACGCAGCTGGTTATCAAAATCCTTCTAAATATACTACAGACGCATTTCATGGGCATCTACACAAGTCGCAAAAAATGCATTGAACTCATTTCGAAAGACCATCCAGGAAACTCAAATCAGTCATTCCGGATGGTATCACAAACTCACCTCAAGTTCACCACCAAAAGATGCTCCATACACCAAAATCTTCTTGGGAACACAACCACGAATAACACACCTACAATAAAGAGTGGTGGTAACCTCAGTGATAAGACCAGATGAGAAAACAGCTATACCAAGAAAACAGAACTTGCAGTCCCAGAGAACCTACGTTCCACCAACTCCTCCAATCACTTCAGAGCTGATAGGATGAAATGGAAGCTCACATATGCCAACCTTCAAAAATTAATTTCTGCATTAGCAGAGTGTAGTTGCACATCCAGAAAACCATTAATATGGAGTATACAGATCCAAACAAAGCCAATACTGGAAATCCAAGTTGATGCTGTCCCCATAGTATTACAGATCGTCTAACAGTGAAGCTACGACATCAAGAATCTAATTCTAGTAGCCGATGAATCGTTTACATACGGAAGTGTGTTCCATTGCAGGATCGCCATCCTCCAGCGAACCTACACAGCTCGAGTATACTATTCTATTCTATCACAGCATGATCAAGGAGCAAAGAAATACAGCTTTACCTTCTTAGCTCCAAAATTAGTAGAGAATCTAGAAGCACGAACACCGCCACTGCCAGCTCCAATGACGAACAAGTCAAAATCAAAGTGAGCCTCCTCGGCCTCGTTGGTCTGGCTCAGCTCTCCATCGATAAGCATTTTCCTCGCCATGATCTCGATATACTACTGCGACCAGAAAATGAAACGAAAGATAAGCAGAACATTTCTCTTCGATTTCTGGACACGACAAATCTAGGCATCTCGAGCTAGGCAACTGTAGGGATCTTACTTACCTCGTGTGAAACTACTACAGCAAATCGATCTGGCAAGACGACGGAGCGCAGCAGAGAGACAGACTAGGGTTTAAGAAGAGTGGAAAAGACCGAATTAGGTAGTGAAATGAACTCAAGCTTAAAGTGCAGGTCGGGTTCTGCTCGGTATGTGATATTGTGATTTGCACAGCTCCACGATTGGAAGGCGAAACACCGAGAGCCGCCAGCAAAACTGATGATGAGAGTAAAATTGCAAATTCAAATATTTGCAGTAGTGGTCCTGCCACACGGCCGTATTTGCAGAACCAGTCCCCGCATCAGGGACGTGCGGCCCAACCTAAATCGCAAGTCAGGCAAGCGATTCTCCATAAGTCTTGGAGTACAAGATGGTTATGAAACCACTAGCTTCTTGCCCGGCCTTTGGCCGGGATTACTATTGTTCGGGGTTAGTTGTGCCATCCATTTTACTTTTTTTGTTTTTTATGGGCGATTTGATGGGTCGTTTATTATCCTTATCAATACACTGATTATATGTGTCTCCATTTTCCGTTGCTGTTTTGAAATTATGATATATACTCTAACAGATAAAAGTTCAGATGAAGATTAACTTAAATAACAATGGTTCACACATCAGAACATAGTCATTTGGGACCAAAACTGTAGTTGACAAACATGAGTCTGATGAAAAAATCTCCAGTTTCGTAATATAGTAGAATCATTGGTGTCTAATAACTATATGCATAACTGAAGGTGCCAACAATAGGTGATCTGCGGAGAGGACCCAAGTACTTTGAAGCTTTACATTTGTTTGTTGAATTTACAATGATGTGCCTGCCAGAAGCTTCTCGTTGTTGTTTGGAGCGGGTATTAGTAGTCCTGGTTCTCTCTTGTTAGCGTTGAGAGGAGCGGATGGTGTGCCTTCGACATCACTTTGAGACTCTGGTTTGAGGGGCTTTGTGGTTGTTGACATCTCGTGAGTCGGCTTCATTAACCTGCAAAATATGTCATTAGTGCACTGATGTTCATACGGACAAAAAATGAAGGATCTAAGGTATTTATAACAATACGTTTTCATATATTTGTTGTTTTGTTGTTACAAAACACTTAGTAAACTATGATGATGGAATCGTGCGAGATCACTGCAATGTCTCACAAACACTTAAAAGTCAGCATCTTTAGCAAGGCGAGTCATATAAACAAACTTGAAAGCTCGAATGGGGATTAACATAATTATAACATAAATGTATTTTTTAGATCTCATGCTTCATCATTCGAGTGAGAAAAGCTTATTCTGATATTGACGGGAAATTCATTTGTCAGAATGATGTCTATGTTTTAGGAGTTGGGACCTCACTTTGAGCTACTCCCATGCCCACCGCAACTACTAATCAAACAAAAACCATAAGAAGGTTGCAGTGTGAGAAGTGGATCACAATAATTTAAGTTACGCAATTTGATTGTGATGATCAATTACACTTCTAACATTTTACCTTGCTCTTATCCGTTCATTCCTCTTAAATGTTGTTTTCCACAAACTATGATTTACCCCAATCTCCACTAAAATTGGTTTTATATTAGCTCTGGATTTATAGAAGCCAAACATTCAAAACAGATTGCTCGAATGATTTAAGATCCTTTGATCAACAAAGCCTACGACCAAATAATCTAAACTCATATGCCCATATAAAACATCATATCAGAATATCACTATCACCAAGTACCAAACTGACCCTTTTATTGCCAGACATACAAACAGAAGTAAGCACTTGCCTCGTAGGTTTGTGGTCTTACAGTTTGGTGACCTCAATAAATGATTAGGTGAAAGCTTTCGCCAAAATACCAACCTCAAGTTGAACTGACCAATTATTAATCCTCGTTCCATACCCTTTATTGAAATTGTAGGCTGGTGGGATTCCATCCAAGCAAACTGGAAAAACAAACCAGAGAATTATGAACAAAGATGACAGCTTTATGAACAAAATCAGCAACCTATAAACTTGAATGCCAATTGTTAGATTCCCCTCACCGGATCCTTTTCGGTACGCCACTGGTCACATATGTAATTGCGGCATACATGGCGTTGGTTCTGGTCATAGACAGCAAAGCCAGACATACAAACAGAAGTAAGCACTTGCCTCGTAGCAATCTGAACTCTGCCATTCTGCACATGAGAAGAAGAAGAAGAAGAAGAAGAAGAAGAAGAAGCGAATTATGTACTTGTGGTTATATCTTGGGTGTTTGAAATCTGCAAGTGTTTTTATTTTGTGGGAGCAGCGAATATCAAACAGCAATGAAGCCGAATAAGAGAAGCAACAAAAACCAAAAGGAACTCTGAATTTCCAAGCGATGAGACAAATAACACAAATTCTCAACCCTAGAATCAAACAGTAACCGTTTGATACAATCAAAAGCCTAGCAGAGTCTTGAAACATCGTTCTTCCTCCGACGGATCATAATAGGACCCATAATCCAAATTCAACGCTGGACATCCCCGTATAGGGAATAGAAAATCTCACAAAGTACGCAAATTCTTAATAGTGGAATCAAGCAATAGCGATTAGAATTATCAAATTAAAACCCAAACCCCAAAATTCAGTGGCGAAAAGCGCATCCAGGAAAGGGAAAGACTAAGCAGAAAACACACCAAAAATATTAAATTACCTGCGGAATTACAAATGAAAGGTGGTAATACTATGAAGTAGGTGGCACTCGAAATACAGTTGCCTGCGGAGGAATCTGGGGTCTTCTGAAGGGTGGCCGTGAGAAATGTCGAGGTCCTATTAGGGGATGATATGAAGGGCATACCGTCTATATAACGGAAAAGGGGATTTTGGGCACACTCACAGAAAGCAATTGACGGAAAAGGAAAGAAGATATGAAATCTTCAGCGGCCGAGAAAGGGAAAGAAAATTGGGAACTTGCCGTCGTTCGAGTTAGAAGAGTGGAAATCTGGGGAACAATGGAAGGTGGGTAGGAAGCGCGGATATGGACGCGTGAAATTTTGGGTATGAACCATTGTAGATTTAGCGAGAAGGAAACTATTGGGGTTTAGAAGGGGGATACCGGAATAGGGAGGAGAGGCCTGGTTTTTTCACAAAATAGGAAGGAAGAAGGAAGCTTTTTAAGTGGCTGACGTGGAATCACGGATGACAGTAAATTTTGAATCCCTGAGAGGCAGTTTGAGAAAATGCTTATAGTATTTTTTAGATAAAATCGATTTGCGATGGTCCATTTCAAAGATATCAGTTGTCTGGTTTTTATTTTTTTAGGTAAATACAATTTAATAGTTAAATCTTTTACTTGAAAACAAAATAATAGTCAAACCTTTTCAAAAATAAATTATTAGCCAAATCGTTAACTTTTCACCTGGTCAATCGTCAGTTGACTCCGACGTGGAAATGAACTATACATGTCAGCTCATTTTTACTGATGTGGCAACTAATAAAAATTAATGAATCATTTTATTGTTCAAATTAAAAAAGAAATGGAAAATGCTGACATTATCTAATCACACACTCTCTCTCTTCATTCTCGTCCACCCGTTCTCCCCGTTCAAATTCCTCTCTAAGACGAAACCCTTTCCTCCGGCCAAACCCATCCCCGTCGCCCTCCACAGAACCAAAATTAACGGCACCGGCTTCGTCCCTCCTCATGTGAAGGCCGGAAAAACGCGAGCGTCGCCCCCGGTCGTGCATTCCCAGGCCGGGGCTTTTGGCCAAAGAGACGTCGGAGCGCTGGCGAGGAGACGACGGAGCGGTGAAGGAGACGACTGATTTAGGTACCCATTCCCTAATTTTGCTTTCAAACCCTAGGTTCTTTATCCCAATTTGATTGAAGTTACCCTCTTTTATAGTAGTGCGATTTTGGTGGAATCTGGTTTGTAAGGACCACAACGGGACCACTGAAAATAACAGTTTGTGTGGAATTTTGCTTTTAGAGAAGATAGCAGTGGATGTTGATGAAGTGTGTTACTTCGAGCTTTTGAATGTGGCTACACTAGAAGTATGTTGGCATTCGAAAGATATGGTACCTTGACACCGGGGGCTACACATCAAGTGCATTCCGATAAGGATGTGATGGAAGGGTTGCTAGTCGATGCAGCCGGTACTAGGGATGTGTCAGTTTTTGTAGAGGCTGTCGAGGTGGAGGATGGCCTGGTGGGAGACAATGAGGAACCAGACTTGTTTCAAGGTTTGCCGAAGGAAACTGAAGATATTGGTGAGGGCTCGGTTGCGAGAAAAGTGATCCATGTTGCTGACTCTGAGGATTCTCTTGTGCCAGAGCCAAATAATTCAACCCCCCCGTCCCATGTCAGTTTCTGATTCAGGGGATGAAGTTGAGCAGCCTGGTGGTGTTGAAGATGATTACCTTGACGTGGAAGAAGGATCAGCTGCTTCTTCCGATGAGGCTGCTAGAGAAACCAATCCAAGGGTGACGAATGTGTTCAATGAAGAGCCCGATGAAAGATATGCATATTTGCCATTTTATGATCTCGATTGTGATCATGAGGACTTCTTCTTCAAGATTGGGCTGAAGTTCTTGTCTGTTGAGCAATTTAGAGATGCTATATACAAGCACTCTGTTGCTGTTGGGGCAAATGTCGCATGTACAAGGAGTCATGGAAGTAGGAGGGAGTTTAAATGCAAGAATGCGGCTTGTGATTGGAGGGTAAATGCTGTCTGGTGGGGAGATGGTGCAAGTTTCATGGTTAGGCGGATAGGTACACCTCACACTTGCTCTTGGTCTATACGAATCAACTTAGCGACTGCAAGGTTACTTGCTCAACATTATTTCGAGCGACTCAGGGTCAATCCGAAGTGGGAGCCTTGCCATATTGCTGAGGAGGTGAAAGCAAAATTGGGGGTCGATGTTGAGGTAAGAACTTGCTACCGAGCTAAGGTTATTGCAAGGGAAATGTTGGATGGGACCCTCGACGAAGAGTATCAAAAGTTGAGAAGCTATGTGGCAGCTTGAAGAGGGCTGATTCGGAAGGACGATTCATTCTAGATGTTGTTCCATACGGGGCAGCGGATAAGGTGTATTTCAGACAGTTCATGGTGACGTTCTCGACTCTGAAAAATGAATTCCTCGCTGGGATGTTGTTAACTGCTGTGAGGAAAGATAGGAATAACCACATTCTCCCATTTGCATGGGTTTTGGTAGAGGGAGAGAACAAAGAGTCATGGACATGGTTTCTTAGCACAATCCAAGAAGAGTATGTTTGGTGATGGAAGCGGATGGAGCATCATTTCCGACCAACAAAAGGTAAATTTTAAGTCAATTTTGTTGTTGTGTTCAATTATAAAAATGGTTGCTGCTGTGAGAGATATAATAGAGTTAGTAATAGGTTTGAGCTTCCTGTGTTCTTAATGGTTGGTTTGCAGGGGCTGGTCGAGGCTATGCATGATGTGATGCCTAGTGCAGAGCATATGAAGTGTTCCCGTCATGTGAATGCGAACTGGAAGGCCAAGAACAAGAATGATCGAATGCAGGGCGTATTCTGGAAGGATGTATATGCTTACAATGAGGCTGATTTTAAGGAAGCTTCTTCTGAGATGAAAGCATACGAAAAAGAGGCTTCCACAAATGAAAAACCATACACTGACTTCATAGATCAAGAACCAACTATATTCTGTCGTGCATTTATATCTAGAGTCCCGAAGTCTGACTTTGTTGAGAGTAATATTTGTGAGAGCTAGAACAATGTAATGCTCAAGCACAGGGAGCAGAGAATTATTGTTATGCTGGAGGGCATTCGAGGTTACATGATAGTTTTAATGAGGAAGATGCATCGGCGGTTTGAAAGGCTTTGGAACTTGATATGTCCACAGGCAAGAAGCATCATAGTCGAAGAGGATGTCAAGGCAAGAAAGTGCCTTGCTCGTGCTAGCACCAATGACAAAGTTGAAGTCCGTATTGGGGCAGCATGATTCGTGGTTGATTTGGGAAGTCGTGATTGTACCTGTGGGGCTTGGCAACTAATGAGACTGAAGTTGGACGATTATGTGCATGAGTGCTACCTCATGACCACAGCTAGAAAGGTATATGCACACGGAATGCTATGTATGAGTGGACCACATACTTGACATAGTGCTGAAAGATATCCTGTATACCCGCAGATTAAGAAGGCAATGCCGGGGAGGCCTAAGAAGAAAAGAAGAAATGAGGCGGCTGAACTCGAAGCTCGAGTGAATAAGAATGGTTGGGGACACTCAATTGGGTGTGAAGGAATGGTGATGCATTGCAGCAAGTGTCGAGGTACAAGACATAATGCTAGAAAGTGTCCCAATTCACCATTTGTTCCGAGTGAACCAGTTATGGAAACGTCCAAGGTAGGGAACGCGATGGAGAGGGACACGAGGGAGAGGAAGGGGGCATCAAGGTTATTCGAATGAAGGAGGGAGAGGGAAGCCAATGGAATCCCAAAACGAAGCAAGCAGACCAAAGATATGATTTTACATACTACTCCCCATTACAAACACTATACTCTGCTAACAATATCTCACCATTGTATATTCCACAGAGGGCCATCCATTGTGGTTCGTGTAAACAGGCTGGACATAATGCTAGGAAGTGTCCACTGAACATGGGAATTCAAGTAAGTAGATGTGTTGTTGCAAAACAATCCCTTTTGCATGAATTTGTCTTCTCGAGTATCTGACTGGTTTTGGTTACAAATATATAGCATGCTAGAATTGAGGTTTGGAATACGAACCAAGTTTCATGAGACGTCAAAACTGCCTTAGGTGGCATTGGTATATATACAAATGCGAACACTAAGAACCAGTATGTCCATGTACGTGAGAATGGTGTCAATTAGCCTTGCTTTACCAATGTTTTACTTATAATGTAATAAGTAATAGTAGTTGTAACTAACTGATTATGTTGGCTATAACTTTTCAGTTTACGAGGGTGGAGAATGTTGGAGTTCGTAGTTCTGCAGAAGTTTTCGATACCCAACCAATTGAGATTGATGCGACACAGCGACCAACAACTCAACCTGAGTAGTAGTATAGGGAAATTAGTAGTTATAGTTTAGAAGCATACAAAATGAAGTTAAGTTTGTGGTGAATTGAGCCGATTTAGTTAGTTTGGCTCACTTCTACCAATTTTTGCATTTTGTACAATTCACTTCATAGTTGTGTTACATTGGTTTTGATAGTTGTGTTAAAACATGCAGCACTCTATTGCAAATTGAAGTACATAACACTCATTGCAAATTTAGGTGCAACACACTTTCCAGAACACATTAATCACTCATTGAAACCACGAAAGTACAACACAAAGCATAACAACTAGAACAATTATCATCACATTCTTTATCCTGCTTTCAAAAACATCAAACACATTGCTCAGTTTCTCAACTCGGATTCCATTCTTGCGTGATCCTCCTTGGTACTCATCAGCTCTTCTAAAAGCAAATTTTTAGCCTTTTTCCGCCTTTCTCCCTTCATCCGAGCAATCCTACAACTCTCTTCAATTTCAATCAGTTTGGTCTTAAGCTCATCTTCTGATTCCTTCCAAATTTTGGGTTCGTACTCATCAACCCACACGAAGAACTTGCACTTTACATTCGAATCCTACAAAAAGAGAGCTTCTCAGACATGTACAATAGATAAATCGAAAGGCCACCAACTAAACAAATTGTGTTACCTTCCAGTATTGAAAACAGTAGAACTTTCTTCCCGGATTCTTGTCGGTACGAGACACCTATAAAATGCATGGACAATCGTGGCATATAGGTCTTGAATCTCGATTCGTGTTGGTAGAAGAGGAAGAACCGTCCCTAGCAGACATGGGGATCTTATGCACCGAAGCTTGCCGGGTATTGGATAATAAAGCCACCACGACGAGATCTGGGAGGGATGCAGTCAGGAGCCTCGAGTGGAGCTCTGGGACGAGGGAGAATGGCGGAGAAGGTAGGGTTTTTGGCGGGGCGAGAGAGTCAGACCGAGGAGGGAATTACTTCGACAGGGAGAAGGAATGGTCGCCGGACAGAAGGGGAGAGGCTGGGCGGAGGGGGAGAATGAATGCCCCCAATTTTTTCCCCAGCTACTTAATAAAATTAATAACTCGGAAACTTTAAAAAATTGGGAAAATATTATCCGACGTGTACAACTCCTTTCCACATCGGAGTCAACTGACGATTGACCAGACGGAAAGTGAACGATTTGGCTAATAATTTATTTTCAAAAAGGTTTGTTATTATTTTGTTTAAAATGAAATGTTTGGGTATTAAATTGTATTTACCCTTTTTTATTTTATCTACCGTGAAATATATTATTACATGAAATATTTTTTTTATAAGGGTGACATATGTTGATTTTTATAAGGATTCGAACATATGACTTTTAGGTTCAACGCTAGTAATATTATCACAAGATCAAGCATTTGTTCGCCAAATAATGAAATAATTGATGTTCTAAGTTCTAACCCTAAAAAATCTTGCCAATAAAAGTGAAAATAGAAAAGATTAAAAGAAATAATTTAAATCGAATTTTCCTTTGAAATTGTATAGGATATATCTCATATCAAGACTTGATATATGAAGAGGCAATACATTCACGAGATCGGGAGTTCAGACTTCAAATTTCATAAGCCTAGTCGCTTATCAGATCCCTTCTCACCTCGTGTTAAACTTTACATTTATGTTGTTGCTCATCTTTAATTATGACGTTAAGATTTCTTCACGAGGGTTTCATACTAACATAACTTCTAAATCGAATATACAGAACATTGAGAATGTGTGACGACTGACTTACATCCCGACTCGCCGAAGGGACCAGATTTCAGCAACAATTGGAGGTCTGAGAACGACTGGTTCTGCCTCTAGGCTCTGGCTCGTTGCAACTTGCAGTACTGTACTTGAATAGGAGGCTCTTAATTACCGGAAACTTCATGCAGTGTTTTGAAGAAACGTTAAACCTACAACCCAGTTGTTCTTGGTTCCCGTTTGTACTGGATGGTGTTGGGGAGAAAGAAAACAGTAAATCACACAACTAGAACTTGATCGTTGAGAAAAAGGATACACAAAATTCAACCACTTTTTTTTCGTATGTGAAAGAAACATAGTGAAACATCATCTCTATTTAGGGCAAAACTCATCGAGAAACATTTTACACAGAGAACGGGAGAACTAAAATCTCCAGGCAATGCAACCTAAGAGGAGAGGATACTTACATCCCCACCGATCCTTATTGCACAAGAAGAACACTAAATCAATGGGAATAAAGGACACCTGATATTACATTACATGTATTGCTCTTTCTGGGTCGTAATAAGATTATTTTCTTCTTTTTGTTCTCTGCTTTCTTGAAGAAAAATTGTCAGCGGCTGAAAATGAAGGGTGGATTTGAGTCTCAAGACGGGAACCATTCCAAGCGAAAGGGGACGGGAGCAGTTGCTAGACCAAGCAAGCAGCAAGCCTACTTCCAGATCTTAACACATTTGTCATGGCTTGCAGAGGCAATCATCCCTGTAACAGGAGATGCTACCAGAGCTGATATGACACAGTTGTGAGCTGGAACTGTCATGCACTTGTTCTCTGCCATGTTCCACAGCTCCATTGACTGAACAAATAGTGACGATTAATACTATAAGTTAAGAATTACCACCTCTGAATGAAAGCAATCAGGATGTGAATTCTGAAAGCAAATGATAAGGTTCTTAAAAGGCTAGGGATGTCAGTGAGATTCATTGAATGTGAGCAGAGCAAGAGTTGTGTGCTACTGTTAAGATACCTGATAGCTCCCAATGATTAAGAGAGTCGAGAAGGTTGGGTGGTAAACACAAGAATGGAACTTGTTCCCACTGGAAGTAAGTTCATGAACGCACTCTCCGGAGGCCAATGACCAGACCCTGACAGATTCCTGACTTGCAGATGCCAAGAATTCTCCATTGATATCCCAGCAAACAGAGTGCACCTCGGTGGCATGCCCCTGGTTTCAGGAAGATAAACAACCATTCGGGAATTAACATTTGGAGACACATCTTTATTTATTAACACTTCTCTTGCACTGGTGGTTTACTATTAGTTAAGACCTTTACCTTCAAAGAGTGAGTCTGTCTGTCAGTCTCAACGTCAAAGACGGACACAACATTCTCTGCTGCAGCAGCCAGCAGTTGTCCAGTTCTTGGCTGAAACCTAACTTGTGCTGTACCTCCCTGCTCCCACAGGATGCCCAGATATTATCAACCATGTTACAACTTTTCTTCCTCATATAAAATAAAATAAAAAATAGTACAGGTTTCTAAGGCCAACCTTGGATACGCGAACACAAGAATATTGATTCATGTTCCAGAACCGAATCTCGTTATTACCGTCACAGGAGCAGAAAAGGTCATACTTCCTTGGATGGAAGTCAAGGGACATCACATGAGAGGTGTGTCCCGTATAAGACTGCAGCGGGTATCTTGGCTGCAAAGGATAAGCCATGCTAAGTGCGAATAGCAACATTATTATTAAAAATCATACCCAAAAATCAACGTGCAGAACAAGACCTCTTCTGTTGAAATTTTTTGGATTCGAGATTTGGGTCTAATGATATTCAGCACCAGCATACACAAGACATAGCACAAAAGACATATATTCTCACAGGCAACTACTTCTATTGAATAAATAATTACAGTATCATTTCAATTCAAAATGTAATTCAAAATTTGTTGCAAATTTGGGACTTTCAGTTGATATATTGTTCACATATCATCACAAACAGAAGCAAACACCCTAAATATGATATTTGCAACACAGTTCATGAGTCCGCAGCAAAACCTAAAAGAGTAAACGAAATACAACTACAAGTCTACAATAAACAAAGCACAGACAAGACAGGGGGGAAATGAAAAGCTATATCAAGGAGGGTATCCCCTAATTGCTAGAAATGCAAGACAGAGTTATGTGAGTGAAGTTGGTCGAGAAAAATTTACCTCTGCCGCATCCCAAAGTTTCACAGTTGTATCAAATGAAGATGTTGCCAGCTGGGTTGAATTTGGCCTAAACCGCACATCAGTTATGATGTGGGTATGATCTTCAGGAGTACTCTCAGTTTTCAGGGTTTCCATATTCCAAAGAACAACCTATTCAGAAGAAATCACACACAACCATATCAACATTTATTAACTGTTAAATCTATTACTAACAAGACAATGTCCTGTAGCTTTCCTTGTACCACGGCTGCACCAGTCCCCAATTTGACCCAATGAATTAACGAAAGCAAGATAACTAAAGTTCACTCAATATAAAAAATTGAAAATTAAGGTCACCCTATCCACTACGAAGCATTGTACCTTCTTGTCATGCCCAGCACTAGCTAACCACTTGCCATCTGTAGAGAAATGACAGCAGACAACTTTGCTATTGCTTTCACGTATAGAACCAACTTCATTGAAAGAAAAACCTGCGAAAAAAAGGAAGTTATAAACAGGGTAGTTGGAAGAATGGTTGAAAAGGGGTTCATTGGGGGCAGAGATACTCTTAAAAAGTTACAACAGTGATTACCCTTTGAAGCTTCAGCATGCTCAGAGGGGTTCCTCTTCAATGTACCAAATAAATCTCTTCCATCTCCTTCCTCCTGCGATAGGAAAGATTCAACATCTCCAACATCTCCAAAGTTCTCTATGTCTTCCTGCAATCAAAACTAACAGAAATTAGTATTCATGCATCACTTTATCTCAATGGTTATGCCTATTCAAGCAATTAGGCATGCGAGAAAAATCATATCAACTTCAGAAGACTCCCTTCTGCAGCAGAAAATCAGAATACTCAAAAGCTTCTACGGTTAGAGTTCAAAGTTAATTGTACATACCAGCTGATTGGTGGATGATGCAAGAGCCCCAGCACCATCCGCAGCATACATCATCATGCCTTTGGACATGTTACTGACATGCTGCATATTGTTGGGAGCAGTAATTCCATCACCAGGAGTATGCGTTGATGGTGTTGATGGCTGAGAATTAGGTCCAACTGTGTTTGCTGTGCCTGTACTATTAGCAGGTCCAGAAGATGAAGG